CTTTAGGCAACGGCGGACCTTAAGTATGCGTGATGAGATGAGTCATCAATACCGTAACATAACATTATAGAGCTACGCTATGTTGCAGAGAAAAGGGCAGGCGGCTCCCTTGACCCCCACTCACGCTCGACACATTCGCCCGCACTAGCTATTTACCGCAATGCTCACAACTCCCGCGACTCTTACATAAGTTGGAGTTAGTTACTACAACTTAACGTAACTCGCCGTGGTTATTACGTTACGTAAATTTCTTAGCCACTCAGCCAGAGTGAATTATAGATGTGTAAATGTAGCCGAATAAAAGCTGTTCCAGCATTAAATAGAAGGGAAGTTTATGGGAAAATACGAGAGTTTTCTTTGAAGTTCGGTTTGTAAGTGGTTTCGGCAGAGTTGCCAAAAGGCTGCGAAAAAATTTGGTATAGTTTGTCAGTAGTTTTATATGAGAGGAAGAGCCAACATACCGCCTTTCGCTTTCGAAGGCGCTCTTTTTCAGCTTCACCATAAGCATCTACGGCGCACTGCAAAGGATTGTTGCGTAAGTGGATGATTTGAGTTTCATCTCCAGCGTCGGTGGGCTCACGACTTGCGTTCCGTAACTGGACTTCCAGGTGTGCCGCTTTCGACTGAGCCTTGAAGGTTAGTTATTACAGTCACTGTTAATCAATGAGAAAAGCCAGAGTCGGAATAGTACCATTAGGACCTCAACAAGTTTCTCCTCTAAGACCTTGATCTCATTGCGCACTGAAGACAGCTCTTTCTGACAAGACTGGAGCTCACTAGTCTTTTCTTCTGCTGTTCTAGAAACAAAAAGAACAAAATTGTAGACAATGTTTACAAGAAACTGACGTTGAGGTTTACCTCGTGAGATCAATAGCGCTGCCATTGCTGAGCGCCGAGGATGTTAGAGCATAACATATAGTGTCAATCCCTACAAAAGTAATGAGTCGAACACTTTCTGAGTACCCTTGAGGAAACCTTCCTCACTTCTTGTTGTGACGTGAGGCCGAAGTTTCCAGACGCGAGGCCCACAAATCGCCATCCTTGTGAGACTTCTTCACTTCCTTTAGCATTCCCCAAAGTAAGTGAAAACAGTGGGATATCGTAAGTGGGATATCAAGGTATCGACAAGCTCTTTCCAGAACGTACTTCTCGCAGTGGCATCTCCATTTCCTCTTGGAACGAGCGGAGTTGTCTCCGTTTGGGAACAAGCGAGTCTTATTGGTTGCTCGCTGAAGTTTTTACCCTTTTTGGGTTGTGTGTGTGGTTTGTACACGGTGGCATTGTGGAAGCTTTATTAGGCAAAACACAGAAGCCCCGTATCAGCGGTGTACAGGTATTTATACCCAACTGAACAGGTGGTAAATATGATCGAGTCATCAAGAAGTTAAACGCTCAATGGGGAGTGATAAACAATGTTATCAAGGCTACCAATATTAAAAGGGTCGCGTGGAGCGAGACACTCCGCGCTCCAAATGTTACACATGATATCGTTAACAAAGCGAACTATTCATGTGAAAGGATCTGTTTGTTTGTGAATCTGCTGGAATCCAATCTCGGCATGTCAACTGTACCGTGGTCGCTTGGCGTCGTGGTTGCAGTTGTTGCGTCCTTTAGATGAGCAGACTAGTTATTAGTTGTGAGGCATCTTGCATGCATGGCAGATTACCCCACAATCGTTTTGGTGTGCAGCCTTCAAACATTGGGTACATGAGCCAGTTTTGATGTTTGCATCGCCCTCGGCACCGAGTCAGCATATCGCCGGCAGCGCCCAGACTGGTGCATATCACCATTTTCTGCCGTAGGGCAGAATACGCATAGCGATTTAGACTCGCAGCTAAATCTACACCCCGAAAAATTAACGGGCGAGTTGTGCGCGACATTTGTCAACTTTTTGCGTCAACTGTCTAACTGAAAACCAGGCAACTCGTTGCGGGACCATAGCAGCTACCTCTCCACGCCGATCAATGCAACTTCCCCTCTTATTCTCTTATTCACTACATTATTTTGCTACGATTCTGATCTGGTATTCCTCTATTCTGCAAGTTTCTGTGCTGAAACTACTCTGCTGCCATTCTACTGGATACCCTGCGCTAACCGAGGCTCAAGCACTGTTCGTCTTTCATTTGTGTTTTTATTCTGCTGGTATTACATTCTACTTGTTATCCATTCACACTTTGGTTTTTGTAACTCGTATTCCGTATTTGACAATTCTGACTATACTTTGCAGTGACTTCGTATTTGACGCTGCTTGTAATTATAATTCTGTTATTGCTATTCGCCGACTCGCAGCTAAATCTACAACACGAAAAAACGCCGGGCGAGTTGTCCGCGACATTTGTCAACTTTTCGCGACAACTGTCTAGCTTAAAATCAGGCAAATCGTTGCGGGACCAATGGCAGCTATGTTCAACGCCGATTAGTGCAACTTTCCTGCCTTATTCTTCTATTTTCTACCCTATTCTGCTATGATTCTAATCTGATGACTGTTGTATTCTACAATATTCTCTGC